TAACGGTCTTTTAATAAGAAATACAGATACATCTTCTTTTTAGTGGATTGTACTTTGGAACCTGAGAGCGGCTCACGAGCTGGCTTGTGGGGATTGGCCTTCCTGGGAGAGCTGACACCTAGCTTTCCTGTCACACTGGAAACAGCATGCACCCCCCAGGGAACCGTGGGCTCAGCAGGGGCGTTCTATCAGGATTCTCACTACAAACCACTGAGTCACATTTTACAAAATGAGAAAACTCCCCTGCAAGTTAAGCAAAGCCAGTCAGTAAACCCGCTCTAGGAATCTTCCAAGAGCCATTCTTACCCCTGATGATTTGGTTCATAATTTTACAATCTCTTTAAAGTCTGCTTCTATTTCTCATCTACATCACTTGTTCTTGGCTTAACATATCAACAACAAAAGACTAAGTCCTCAGAATCTTCATTTGGTCATTTAGAAAGAACATTACAATGAAATTGATGGCATTATCCATTTCCTCTACATTGAGAGAAAGAATAACCATTTGTTTTTGTTAAACAGTAAGAAACGAGTGAGTATGTTTCTATCATCTTCCTTTGTCCTCAGGCACTCAATCCTGACAGGAATAGGATGGAAACGCAAACATTTAGTGACATCTGCTCAAAATCATCAGAATATCGGCATCCTGTAAGGTTCCGTCCATGAAAGCTACTTAATCTTTATGTCTGATTTTTTTCTTTAAGTTCAATCTTCCTTATGTCAAGCAGTAGTAGATCAAAAGAAAAGCTGATATTAATTACTATTTCTAGTAAGTCTAAGTTCCCAAATATTTCTTTTGAGATTTATCAATGTTAACTTTTAATCAATGTGTGTGAGGACATAACCTCTAAAATATGCAGGAATTTTCAGAAACGACGAATTTACCTCTTTCAGAATACAGCAAAGTAAAGCACTACTTTGTATTAGTAAGGATTAAAATCTTTCCGTCATAGATCTCAAAGTAACATCATCATTATGTTGCAGATTCGTTGACACATGAATTGGCTTTTGTAATATTAAAATTAAGCTTTCATTTTATTGAAATTCTTTCATTTCATAATTAATTCATGGATTTTGGCACAGAAGGGATGACTCATCAGAACACTCTTGCTCTTAAGGAGAAGCACATTCTTTGGGAGGCGGTAACAAAGGAGCAGAACACAGCAGGAGGTGATGGGAGTCCTCACCCAGAGCATTCTCCGTCCTGGGGGCCAGAGGGCCCCGGCTCCAGGGCCTGAGGACGCCAGACCCCAACAGAGCAGCTCCTTCTGCTCCACTGCACACCCCAACACAACTCTCATGATGGGATGGCATTAATAAACTCAGAATTACCCAAATATAGACTAAGGTGGGCTTGATGCAGGCCATGGTCTTTACAATTACTCACTATGCATCAGAGATCTGGAAAATGACGAGGGATGATAGGAGAATTGATGCATTTAAGCTGTGGTGCTGGAGAAGAGCGTTGATTATACCATGGACTGCTAGGAGAACAAACAAGTTTGTCCTAAAGAGGATGAAGCCAGGCTGCTCCTTGGAGGCAGAGATTCTGAAGCTCCGTCTGACATACTTTGGACATGTTGCAAGGAGGGACCAGTCCTTGGAGAGGGATGTCATGCTTGTGAGGGCGAAGGGACAGCACAAGAGAGGAAGACCCTCTCTATGAGATGGATCGATTCAGTGATTGGGGTAATGGGGGCAGGTGTGTCGGAGGCAATAAGACAGGCAAGGAATAGAGCAGAGTTTAGGGCTGTTGTACATAGGGTCACTATGAGTCGCAAGTGACTCGAGGGCACATAACAACAAGTTGGTATAGTTATAA